CTCTCCACGGTGAGGATCACACCGTTACAATGAGTTGAAGATTTTGAAACACACACTTACAAACTCTCAAATAGAGTAAATATACAAATTTGAGCTCACAAAAATTTCAATCCTCACACCAATAATTTTCTCTCACAAATAAGATGGAAAGAAAAATTGAGAACTTGGAGAGATTAGCAAAAAGAAAATTTTGAAGTTATGGAGGATTGAGAATAAGAGAATTGTTGTTTGATTTTGAATGAGAAGTTTAATTTAAATAGAGGGAAGAAAATGGTAAAAAAAAATCAAGTTTAATTTTAAACCATTAGATCTTAATCATTAGGAATAAAGAGTTGAGATAATTTTGAAAAAGAATTAAGTATAATATATATATATAATAATGATAAAATAAAATAAAATATATATATATATATATAAAAGTGATGTGACAAGTTATTTTAATTATATATATATATATAATAATATATGTGAGAAACGGTAACTTTTCAAATTTTTTTTTTATATATTTTTTTTAAAGTGACAGCATTTAATGTGAAGGGACATTTTTTTTCAATATATATATATATATATATATATACTTTAAAAAGAAGCTTGTCACTTGTCAGCTTACGAACTGTCCACGTCATCTTCTCGGGTATTTTTCCTTCYAATTTGTTTCGATCGTAACTTCTYYGTTTGAGCTCCRATTTGGATGATCTAACRGTCGTTGGAATCGTTGTAACGAGCTCYACACTGTGGACACTTTAAAATACACAAAATGTCAATAAATAAAATTAAGTTTGTTATCATCAAAACATTAATTAATTAATTAATTTGAGATTAAGGCCAAAAAGCCAACAAAGAATGCAAGGGCAACTTATCAAAGGATAGTGAACAAGATGTTCACCAACCAAATCTGACGCAATATAGAAGTTTACGTGGACGACATGCTCTTCAAGAGCAAGCAGTCCAAGTCGCACCTGGCCGACGTTATCGAAACTTTCGAGGTCGTCTGGAAATACCAGATGAAGTTGAATCCTACCAAGTGCGTCTTTGAAGTCTCATCTGGCAAGTTCCAGGGGTTCATGGTGAATAATCGTGGCATAGAGGYTAACCAGAGAAGATAAGGGCCGTGCTCGAGATGTAAGCCCCAAGGACCCTTAAGCAGCTATAGTGCCTTAACGGGAGAATCGCTGCCCTGAACAGGTTTGTCTCCAAGTCCACGGATAAATGCATCCCTTTCTTCAAAACCCTAAGAAAGAAAGGACCTTTTGAGTGGACAGTCGAATGTGAAACAGCCTTTGAAGAACTCAAAAGGTACCTCTGTTCGGCATCATTGCTCGCGAAGCCTATGCCAGGAGATAAACTACACTTATGTTTGGTCGTGTCCGACAACGCAGTCAGATCGGCCCTAATTAAACAAGACGGAGTGCGGCAAAGTCCTATTTACTACACAAGTAAGGCCATGACCAAGGCCGAGACCAGGTACCCTCAAATGGAGAAACTGGCCCTCACCTTGGTCACCTCGACACGAAGACTGAGGCCGTGCTTCCAAGCCCACACTGTGACCGTGCTCACAAACTTGCCTTTGAAACAAGTTTTACACAAGTCAAAGACATCTGACCGCTTAATGAAATCGGCTGTAGAGCTGAGCAAGTATGATATCCAATTCGAACCTCAAACAGCTGTGAAGGGGCAAGTTGTCACAGACTTCATAGGTGAGCTAACTCTTTCTCCTACTCCAACGTCCGAGTTCGACCAGCTGTGGATGATGTACGTGTATGAGTCTTCAAATGAAAAAGGATGCGGCGCAGGCGTGCTCTTCCTCGCCCCGGATGACATACGTTTTGAGTACGCCCTTCGCTTCTACTTCCGTACCTCAAACAATGAGGCCGAGTACGAAGCCTTGTTGGCCGTGCTGCGCATGACAAGAGGACTTGGAGCCAGTCACCTTCAAATTTTTAGTGATTCTCAGCTGATAGTGAATCAGATCAAAGAAGAGTATAAGACAAAAGACTCTCGGATGGAGAAATACCTGGGAAAGGTCAGGTCACACCTCACCCATTTTCAAGCTTACGAAATCAGCAAGATTCCGAGGTCACAAAACTCCAATGTCGATGTCTTGGCCAAATTAGCATCTGCCTACAAGACCAACCTAGCGAGATCAGTCCTGGTGAAAATCTTGGATAACCCTTCCATTTTGGAGCTGGATATGATGGAAGTTGATTCCAAGCCTCTGTCATGGATGGATCCAATCAGGAACTTCTTAGAAGGCAATATCCCAATAAACCCGAAGGAAGCCAAAAAGATGAGAAGAAAAACAGCTCGGTACTTGCTCCGAGATGAAACAATGTACCAGCGTGGGTTCTCCTTACCCCTCCTTAAGTGCATTTCAAAAGAAGATGAAAGTTATGTTCTTAAGGAAGTGCATGAAGGGGTTTGTGGTAACCATTTGGGGGCCAGGTCATTATCGACGAAGGTCATTCGTCAGGGTTACTACTGGCCCACGGTTGATCAAGACGCAAAGGAATTCGTGAAAGCGTGCGATAACTGCCAACGGTTTGCGAATATCATCCATCAGCCTCCCGAGCTGCTGACTCCGATCTCAACACCATGGCCCTTTGCACAATGGGGAGTCGATCTAATCGGACCTTTCCCATTGGGCAAAGGGCAGACCAAGTATGTCGTGGTTGTTGTGGATTATTTACCACGTGGGCCGAGGCCGAGGCGCTCTCTACAATCACAGAAGCCAGGGTCACGACCTTCATTCGGACAAACATTGTCCACAGAAACGCAAAGTTCGACAATGCCATTATAACGGACA